CTGCAAGTTGGGCTTCAATTGTTCCCTGGAGAGCCTCCGGTTTTTTTTTTTTTTTTTTTAAATAACCATGACATTTTAATATTTCCCTTTTTTTTTCTTCTGAGATTATTTTCGGCATCTTCAATACGAAAGAAATTTGACAATGCCGAATTTTAAAAAATGTCGTTAGATTTTGCAGGTACGCAAAATAGTTAGGTACCGTTTATAATATAGCATTATTGAAAAATGCATTGAAAAATGTGTCAAATTTGATTTGCCAGATAAGCCAGAAAATTTTAATACCGCGGCACTTACGAAATTATGTAAACCACACTTAAAACTGTCTGGAATTTGACATATACTGTCATTATTATACGAGGGTCAACCTGCCAAATTTCCATGGATAATGCTACGCCAATAATAAGTGAAAAGCATATACTTATCGCTCCACGCCCAGTCTCATAGCGTCCATTTGTTTCAGGCCTTTAGTCGTCACGCTAACTTTGAGTAAAGATTAAACGTTAAGCTTACTGTATATTTCAAGTCGTACCTCTTGTCTTCAGGCTCCGCTAGACAATTGAAGCTTTAGTGACTTCTAATTACTGAACAGTGCCCAGGGCCAGTTGCTTCTTGTCGCGGCCCTGATCCAGTCCCAGGCCATCGGAAACACTGGAAGATATCAATCCAATCCTTCAGGTTCGCCTCAAGGGATCAGGGACTACTCATGTTTGATAAGTGTGTTGTATTGTCTCAATATCTGGAACCTATCAAACCTTAACAACCCCTTTTTGGAATAAATCACCACAGCGACGCAGTTTTCTACTACAATATTAAAACCCTTCAGGTTATGTGTTGTTATTTCAATTTTAATTAATTATCTATATTACGTATATTAAATTAAATTTGCCCTTCAGGTTATATATTGTAACTTCAATTTTAATTAATTATCCATATTACCTATATTATCCCATAATCTTAAACTTGCCCTTCAGGTTACGTATTATTACTTCAAATTTAATTACTGATCTATATCTCTCTAATATCCCATAAATACATGCTGCACTGAATACAGGAAAATACTTGTACACTGGTTAAATGGCTATTTACGAAGGTATTGCATTTGGTAAGCTTGTCTATTAATTCACATTTCAGGTCTTATTGCTGTTATAAATGTTATACAATACTCTTTACTTCTTTATTTAGAGACTCAAGTTGAGCGTAATTATTATTAATACTATTTTTTAGAACGTAAGGTTAGGTACTCCTAGTCGATTTATTTTGTTCTTGTTCTGGTTCCAGTGTTAATAATTTTTAGTGTTCCAGGGCGTTCGGAAAACCCACTCCCAACCTACTCTAGAGTCAAACCTGTTCTGGTTCTAATTAAACAACCGTACTTGATCGTAGCAAAGCGTTTCACTTCTGCCCTTCCTTCTTGTTTACTTTTATATTTCAGGTTGTGCTGCTATAGGTCCGTAGAAGTTTCCTGCTTTCGTTATATCGGTTGACTTCGTGTACTGCAGGGAAAATCAGGTGGCGCTCTATACTTAATTATTTAATTGATCCACACCCCACTCCGCATTGGAAGCTAGTCGGCAACACTTCACACGAAGTCCCGTTTCTAGATTTTAGCCACCGACCAACCCTCTTTCTATTTTTTTGTCTTAGTTACCCATTCACTGTCTCACTTCCTCAAATTTTATTATTTACTTTTCAATCGCGTTTGCGGGTAACATACTTTCTAGAAACTCAAAAATTTACTCTTATTTCTGATTCAAAATCATTACTCTGGCTTGATAAAAACAAGTTTAAATTGACACGGTGGTCTCTATTCCTACAAGAGTATACTCATTTTGATTTGATTCACTGTGATGGCCAGAATAATGAGTTTGCTGACGTTTTAAGTAGAAACCCCACCAATGAAATTTTTGATATTAACCAAATTAACCATGGAAGACTACTTCCACCTTTAGTTAGTTTCAATAAAACAGATAACACCATGAATAATGTTAATCACTTTGACCTATATGAAAACGTGGAAGATGAAACACTATCAATTCAGAAGGTTCGAAAAACTCTTCTGAAAAGAATTTTCTCAACACTTTTCCAGTGGAAGATGATCTTTTACTTGAAAAATCCTCGAAAAATTTCTACACTTAACAACTAGTGGTCCCTCGCCCCATGATAAAAAACGTCATACATTTTCATCATGACACTCCTGAAGCAGCTCATCCGGGTAGAGATGAAACTGTCCGTAAAATAATTCAAAACTATTTTATTAAAAACATCCAAAAAAAGGTTGGTGAATACATTCATGATAAATAAAAGAACTAGTCCTTAAACCCGTATGTTTTCATTGATCGGCCTCTCTACGCTCGATATATGCTTCCAGAATTCTCGAAATTGGAGAGGAGTTTTTTGGATTGGACTGGTGATCAGTCATAGAGATATGTATAATTTTGCGAACAGCTAAGTAAGTTTAATTTGGATAATTCTAGGTGTTGTAGAAGTGCTACTTTTTGGAGATTTTTGTGTGATTGTTTTAGATGGAATTTATTTAAGTTTGGAAAAGGAGCCTCCCTCATCTACGAACTCACTTTCCTAACAATATCACTTTTTTTTTCGATTAATGTTTCTTGTCAGAAGAGGGCGTGATAAGTTGTGTCCCCTCTGCGGAGTATCTACCTACTCTGTTAGCATCATGGAGTTATGGTGTACCTATTTGATGTACTTCGAAATGTTAGGAGATAGACACAAATGCGTCTTAGTGAAAGTATGTACATATCATGTTCTATTCAGGCTGACCTGTTTGTTAAGATATTAGGTGCTTTCTGGTGGCTCCTACTTGGTTCCAATGTTGAATTTATAGAGAACATCAACATTTTACCATCACTATTCAACACAGTGAAAAACTCAACTGTCAACATAAATCCCCATAGTTAAAAAAATAAAATCACTAAAACTGAACTCTTTTAAATAAGCCAAAAATAAAGATGGTAAAATAATGCATCAAATAAATGATAAAAACCTCAAGAGTTCACCTGCAAAGTTCTCCTCTGTATTTTACTTTGAATAATGTACAATGTGGCTTGTCTCTTTTCAGTAACTTTGACTCCTCATAAAAAAAAAAAGTTTTATAAATGAAGGTTTAATTCTAACGATTATTTACCTTGACATTTTTTTCCAAAATACTATAGAAGGTGAAAGCCAAAAAGGCACTGATATTAAATGGAAAAAAAAAATGGCACAAAATATAAATATGTCTGTTCAAAAATGAACTTTCACTCAAAATTTCAAATGAATGAGTTTTTCCAGTTCATTTTCTTAGAGGGTGATATAAAACCAATTTATAATTTTTTTTCGGTAATAAAATAAATAGATTGGTCGCACCCCAACGCAGAAAAAACGAAATAAACGCCGCCCTACCCAAAATGTTTTATTTTTAGGTTAAGTTTGCCAAAAAATCTTATCTTACCTAGCCAAATATGTTTTTCCATGCTTTCAGTTCAAAGCTCTTGTTGTTGGTTCCGCATTTTACGTGCATTAAAACGTTTCTTCATTAATTTATTTATGCGTGTCTAAAAGATCCAATAGCATGATAAAATATTAGTTTAACACGGAAAGTTATCAAAATAATGGGAACTTTTGTCAGCACGTGCGTTTTACCGTAGATTATAAACACACGCACACAACTAAACAACAAAATAGATTTCATATTAATAAGGCTTATATTATATAATAACACACTTGTACACCTCCGCATGCAAATAAAACGTGTCGAAAATAAATGCTTTAGGCCTGAGGAATACGAAATTAAGGTGCTATGCCCTTAGGTTGTGCCCTGAAGGGAATATTTGTATAGGTACCTATATAAAAGGTTAGATGGGAGGTCTCACCATTAATTAAGTTTATTTTTAATATCCGCATTGGCAAAAACGTACATATAAAGTATTATTCAACCGATAAATTTTACATAAAAACGCATATTCACAGGTTATTTATTTTTCTAAAATTAGTTCTCGACAATAACAAAATTGGAAGGAAATGAATTTTTGTCGGTTACAACAACCGAAAAGCGTGGAAATTGAAAATGAAGAGAAAGTTAAGGAAAATTGGAGGATTAAAAATTTTGGTCTTGGGCGGGATTCGAACCAGCGTTTCAGCATTGCCGGTGCTACGCTCTAACCAACTAAGCCACCACGACCCGACAGATCTTTTTGATTTTTGTTATGTATTGTTAGAGGGAGTTACGTCAGTTACGTGGTTCTCCGCTCATTACCAAACTTCTCAACCCTCCAATAGTGTGAGTCTATTGTCTGTTGTTTAGCATGACGACTCGGTTTCAATCAGTACCTACCGCCCACAAAAAAAGTGTGCTGAACACGCCTAAAGAAGTTTTCACTTCAAACGCAAAGTATGCAGGTTTAAATCAGGCATTAAGGGACCACATAGCCCCACGCGATTTTGAAATTAATCAAATATGAAAAATTATTATGGTGTTCACAGCTAGAAATCATAATGCTATTTTTGGCCTAATAAGGGTTAGGGTAGGTATATCAAATTAATGTTCTTTCATTGCCTATTATATTAATGCATAACTCTTTCAACTATTATAACTACAAGATAGGTGGTTGAAACATTGAAAGGTATTGCTGCTGGGTTGCTGCGTTTTGTTGGAACAGAACCAGTTACATTCTGCAGAACATTTTCTTCAAGAGCTGGTGAGATAGAATTTGTTGTGGGAGCATCGATGCTAGTTTTAAGAAAAACAAACTTGTTTCATTACTCACGTATTTTTTATTTCAAATCTAATAGCTTTCTCATGTAGGTTTTTATCAAAATTTATTATTGCGTTGCAAAATTTTATTGTGAAACTTTAGAGTGTCTGATAGCAATTACAATAGATTTGTCTAACAACTATTATCATGAGCTGAAATCCTTTTAATTTAAAATGCGTTAACTAGTGAGAACTAAAGCATAACTTTTCATTGTCTTTCATAAACTAACAGTATTTTCCAGCAAACATGTTTTTTCAACTACTTGTAATTATTCATCTGCTATTAACTACCTTAGCGAGCCATCAAACCTACCCCGGTACCAACACAAGACCAATACTATCAGACACTGAAGCTGTTCAGTACACAAAAGCAAAATACTTGCAAGGATGGGCACCATCCGATATTGCTACCAACAAAGCTGACTATACTGTAGGTAGTGGTGGATATACAAATATTCAAGCTGCTGTAAACGCTGCTATAAAGGTGAGATTAATGTGGAATGAAAAGTTGATTTTTGAAAGCTTCAATACTTTTTTCAAGGCTGGTGGTACAACAAGAAAATATATAAAAATCCTCCCTGGAAAATATGCCCAATTAGTGTTTATACCCCAAACTACAGTCCCATTAACACTTTATGGGTCTGTAGGACATCCTGCACTAGTACACATTATACTTTCTCAGGGAGCTAAAATGAGCGGTGCTGAGTGGTCTAAACAAGTTAATCCAAATGGCTCTTTCTATAGGGAAGGAGATCCAGCATGGCCGATGTATCATGATTGTGCCATCAGAGCCACTATTGGTACTTTTTGTTCCAGTGTAGTATGGGCTCAAAATGACAATCTAGAATTCGCTTATGTGACCATTGAAAATCCTTCCATTGTTGGTCAAGCTGTGGCTGTTAGGTCAGATGGTGATAAACAGCATTGGAGTCGCTGTAGTTTCTATGGATACCAGGTATGTAGATCCGAAACTGGAATCAATGAAATTATGAATTATCAGCCGTCGGAGGAAAAACTAAGAAATCAGACTTTCACCTTATTCCGGCAACAACATTTTTAAGTATCTACCCATTATACTTTTAACATTTTGCTCAATTTTTCTTATCTTCTTGGGACGCGTGAAAATTGTTGGTTTAGAAAAAAAAAATTGTGGCCTACCCGAGATATGAAGGAATTATATGGGAACACAAGAAAAAGCGTATATCAAGTATCCAATAAACCAAGAAACTAGACGCTATACGGGGTGACACTGTAAAAACTTACAATGGCTATATCTGAGGAACCAAAAAAAAATAAAAACTTGCTGAAAATAATTTCTATAATGGGCAAAATAATGTAATAGGTAACTTACTGTTTTCACTTAGCCCCTCACCCAAACAAAATAATCTTAAATGGCAACCCCCTACTTATGATATCTTATCTGAAAGCTCTTGAAAAATGCTTTTCAATGGCTACAAGCTAATAGTCCCCAGTACATCGACCCTAAAATTTTGTAACTCATGTACACGCCAAACTTCCTGAGCAGCTTCATAACACCAAGTCGGACAATATTTTTCATATCTCCACCCCGGGCGATGGGACATTTTCGCGCTAGCTCTTCGTGAAGTTGTCGTTCTGACGTCCCTAAGGAAGTTGATACATGTACGTGTAGTTTTAATGCCAATCGACTGTTTTTGACATTATATTAACGATATCACATTTGTCGGACAAAAACCATGTGGCTTTGGGGAAGGTCCGACGCTCTCAACATGTGGTTGTGGCGTCCCCGAGGAAGTTGATACATGTACGTGTGGTTTTGATGCCAATCGACTGTTTTTTATGTTACATTATTGATATCACATATGTCGGACAAAAATCACGTGGCTTTGGGTGGATCCGACGCCCCCAACATGTCGCTGTGGCGCCCCTAAGGAAGTTGATACATGTATGTCCGACAAAAATAATTATGAGTAACAATGTAATTTTAAAACATGTGTAGTAAATGTCGGACAAAAAGAATGAGTATTAAAGTCAGTCAGACAACAAAAGTCCTTTTGATCAATTTCTGCCGAAATTCAGGATCTCTACTCCTGAGATCGCACAAAAAACACGACACAATATCCATTCTTTTTCAAACGCGTGGTTTTCAACGACCGTTCACTAAATCATTCCCGTAAATACTCGGAGAATTATCCAAAAAAAACAGATCAGCGAATATGACACAGGTCCCCACAGGTATTTGACAAAGTAGGTAAATAATAAATTGACTAATATGCACATTGCTTAAAGGCAAACTAATTTTAATTTTTTCATTGATTGTCTCAAATTTCTTGTCCGACAAATGTGATATCGGTAATGTAATGTAAAAAGCCGTCGATTGGTATTAAAAACACACGTACATGTATCAACTTTCTCAGGGACGCCACAGCGACATGTTGAGAGCGTCGGACCCCTCCGAAGCCACGTGATTTTTGTCCGACATATATGATATCGTTAATGTAATACAAAAAATAATTGATTGGCATTAAAACTACACGTACATGTACCAACTTCCTTAGGGACGCCACAGCGACATGTTGGGGGTGTCGGACCTTCCCCAAAGCCACATGGTTTTTGTCCGACAAATGTGATATCGTTAATATAATGTCAAAAACAGTCGATTGGCATTAAAACTACACGTACATGTATCAACTTCCTTAGGGACGTCAGAACGACAACTTCACGAAGAGCTAGCGCGGCAATGTCCCATCGCCCAAGGTGGAGATATGAAAAATAATGTCCGACTTGGTGTTAGGAAGCCGCTCAGGAAGTTAGGCGTGTACATGAGTTACAAAATTTTTAGGTCGATGTACTGGGGACTATAATATTTGATGTGATAATTATTACATAGGTAGGGGGTTGCCATTCGAGATTATTTAGTTGGGGTGGCTGAGGGTGCGGGGATAAGTGAAAACAAGTTAGTTACTATAGTATCTTTAATACCAGTTTGAAAGTACCTATCAGTCGTTTCAGTGATTTGTGATAGGTTGGTAATTTTTTATTTCATCTGATTCATGATTGATAAACAAGGATGGGGTTATTCCAAATGAGTATTAAAAATACTATACATCCTTTTGGTTCCGCCTCCCTATTAAAGAAATTGTTTTCAGCAAGTGTATAGTAAACCAGAAACCTAGAAAACTGGACAATACCGCGCATTTCTCTTTTTGATAATCGCCAGTTTTTGTTTAGAACTATACCTTGAGGACCACGACATTACTTACCCAGCTCCATCTTAGGCATGGAAATCGATATCGATTCCAAATTTTGGGGATATATATTATCCATATCGATGCAAAATTTCAACATAGAAAACAATAATTCACATTCGCTTCCGGTTCGAACAAAAGTGCCATCAACTTCTTCATTTCAAATAAGTCACATCTATTATCATATTTTTGGATTCTACGAGAAATTCTAAACATATTCCATGTATATATCCTTCACGTATTCGAGATAATCGCAAATTGAAGGTAGGTTCCAACTAAGATATTTTCAACTTCTTTAAGACCCAGTTTATTTATTTTCAGATAAACTTTGCTAGTAACTATCTGCAAGATAATTCTACTGTTCTATAATTCGATTGGTAGGCGGATAACTAGCCGACCAATGGGATTACAGATTGCGTTTTTATCCGTCAGATTACATACCTGACAGATTGTCAGAAGGTGAATAAACCGGCTCTTAGAAGCATTAAAGATTCCTACCACAAAAATGTCACTGCCTGTTAAATTGACCTTTTATTTGGTCGCCATATTGCGGTGCGCGAACATAGTTGCCAAAAGAAGAAAACAGAAATTACTAGCGGGCTGTCACTAAATGATTGATCCTCGCTCGCTATCCTTTTTGTTTGGTTACTTTCTCTCTCTGATTGATAAAAGTAAATAGATAGAAATTTTATTATTTCTATTCTGCCCAATACAAGCTTAAAATTGATGACTTTTCACTTCAAAAACATTCGTTATAGGCGGCAAATTTAAATTTTAAATGTAATTTATTCAGTAACTTTTGTTTTCAATGTTGACAGTACGCTACTAATTTTTTTTTTTCTACTTTTGGCAACTATGTTCGCGCACCGCATATGGCGTCCAAGCAAAAGGTCAATTGAAAATTTTCGATCGATCTACTTGTAAGGTTATGTTACTTCCATGATTTCAATGGTATACCCCATACTAATCTAGAAGGCTCGTGGATCTTCAATAATACAAGAGTATATTTATTAAATATTAACTTTTTTTAGCGTAAACTGAACTTTTACAGGGCGTAATTATGACGTTTATAATTTTCTTTCATGACAATACAGAAAAGTAATAATACCTATTTACCTAACAAGTGCGGAAAGAAGTACTTTTCCGCACGAGACCGCAGTTGCATGAACGACGCGGAGCAGAGTTCGGGCAAGCCGTCAAGGGCGAAAAAGACATTTTTTGTAAGAGGGTTCTTTTTCATCTTAATCATCAAAAAAAATGTTTTCCTACGAGCGTGCGCAAAGTAGTACTTTTCCGCACGCATTATCGTTCTCAAAGTTACACTTTTCCGCACTCAGTGCGGATACGGGCCTTATCCGCACTGAGTGCCGAAAAGTAAAAATAATTGTCAAGCACCTGTCGACTTTGACACATGATGACAAATTTTTCCTCTGTTTCTATAGGTATCAGCCAACATCTATACAAACACTGAATATAATAAGCTTTGACACATTGTCAGATTTGTGTTCTCAATTTACATGTAAGAATCTACAAACTTCTTTCGCATCAAATTTAAACGCTTTAAGATGAACAGCTCTGACGAGGATTTCAATTTCCTGTTTTTTTGTTATGTAATTTTTTGATAAATGAATAGTTTCGCTTCAGGTTAATTGAAAATAATTGAACAAATTATCGTTTTTTTTTAAAATTTTTGTTGTTACCTACCTGATATGAGGCTCGTAGGAAAAATTTTGTTCCTAACACGTGCGCAAAGTTTCTTTTCCGCACGCAAACACTCATCCGAACTCCGCTGCGCGTCGTTCGTATAACTGTGTTTGCGTGCGGAAAAGTAACACTTTGCGCACTTGTTAGGAAAATAACTATTTCAATACGCAAAGATGGTACAAAATAGCACATAATATATTTAGAATAGTTACATAAATCATTTATTTGGTCCTAAATATCTTCATTTTCAACAATAAAAAAATCGTGCGGAAAAGTTACTTTTCCGCACTATTATACTTTTCTGCACTATTATACTTTTCCGCACGATTTTTTTATACACAAAAAAATAATGGAACCCGATTTTTTTATCATGATGTATTAATAGGAAACTTATTTAAAGAACATATTGAAATTGAACGTGCAATTCGTGTTCATTACGTAGAATTACCAGTGATGGAGGAAGGTGGATTAGACTGTATAAGTTGTAACACATTACACGATTGTTCCTTCGGCGGTTTTTGTTGCATCGGTGCAACAGCGACCGCACTTTTTGAGAATGCAACTTGTGTGCTGCTAGAAGACGGTTTTTCAATTGGAAACGAGTCTGTACAGGAGGATTTTTGCATTGTGGACGTCACTACTCAAAGCCCCCTACAGTAATAAGCCATGAAGTAAGAAATCTGGCAACATGTCGTGTGGGTCCTATGTTTTCGATTGAGGTTAGGTTTTGAATGTGTTTTTAATATTTATTTGTTACTATTATAGCGCCTTTGATTCATCTGTAATAGTTCAAAAGATCAATAATTGTGCCCTGTGCATTTTTTTATCAAAATTTTAACCGCTACCTTAATCATCTTTTGGTTTGTTTACTCAAATGGTTCCCACAGGGCGCCGACGAACACTTTGTTTTCGTCTTTAGTAAAGGTAAGAAATTCATCATTTTTATATATCAAAATATTACATTATGCAAAT